TCCCAGAAGTTTCTTATTCATCTCCTGAAAATAATTGACTTTATTTATTTTTTATTCCCCATGGTTTCTTACAGTATCTGGTTTGACTGTTTTATCTGGGAATTTTCCCAATATTTCACTTTAATTTAATTAAATATATTATTGATCAGGCTTTTGAGCTTCATATTAAACATGCTTCCCTGTTCTTGGTAATCTATGTCCTGGTCTCTTCTAAGAACCCACATTCTGATCCTACAGGTCACGGTCCAGCATCTGGATCTCAGTCTCCTCCTTGCTAAATGGACTTAGTTCTTGATTTCTTACAGCTCTATTCCAAAACTGTGTCATTTAACTTATGTTACTAAATCTTTAAACTTCAAATACCCAGACTTAATTCTTACGAAAATATCATTAGCATTTACATATGTTATTTAAAAAATGGGTAGCAATGGTGGCTTTAATAAACAATGGGTAGCAATGGTGGCTTTAATAAACAATTTAATAAACAATTCTCTTTAATAAACAATTTAATAAACCGAGAATTGTTTATTTAAGCATCTTACATATGCAAAGCATCTCACATATGCCCTCTAGGAAGACAACACAGCTCCTCACAGCCTCATTCATTCCACATTTGGCTATTTGTATTCTGTCAAACCAAATACTCATAAACCTCTGTCCAGTCCCCTTGGTGCTGGTAACAGGGTTAACTCTTCATATTTTATGTGTAGCATGGAACACTGCTTTGTCTTTAAAAGGTTCAGCTTTATTCTCTGAGATCTGGCTATTTTTTCTTTTCTGATTTCAAAAAGGGTCTTTTTTTTCTTTAATCTTATTTTTCTTCTCAACATCTCATTCTTCCACTGGCAACCTAATCACTAATTTTGACTCTGCCAGGCCTCCTTGAAACCTTTTTCCTTCTGTTTTCTTTTCATGCTGTCTAAAGACCATTCATTCTGGTGGTTGTCAAGTGTTTCACCTTTTCTTTCACAGAGACTAGCTAACATTTATGGGGCATGCAGTTGGTGACACCCTCAGGCAGCAAGTTCACTGATGAACCAGGAGTTCTTTAATTTCCACAGTTGAATCCTCACAGGGACTTTTGGGGTCAGCTTTGCGAAAGCCTCTTGTATCAGCCCTGTCTCAAACCAAAGGCTTTTTAGAAGCCCCTAGGTTAATAGTTCAGGGCTTCAATAGTGGTCAATCTTTCTGGAAGTCTGCACTAACATTGGACAATAAGATTTTGGATATGGCTTCTTATCTAGTGTTTTGTTACTCTACATGTACTCAGAACTAAGTGATAATAATTGGGTGTTTTTCTGTGTACCACCAGGTCCATTTTCATTATTTTCCTTATTATTATCCCTGTTCCTTACATAAAAAAGCAAGCTTAGAGAGTTGAAGTCATTTCCTCCAAGCCTTGCTAGTACTAAGGGAAGGAAATGGATATCAAGCCCAGGTCTGTATAAATCCAGAACCCACTTAAAGAGCACATTTATTCTCGTTGTTTCACTCACAGGATGTAAATGATAGTGTCAGTAATTGGATCCCTTTCTTCACTTTCTGTTCTGAAATTCAAGTCCTTTTGGACTACAGTTCCACACTGCCGTTTGGAAATCCTCTGGGATGATGAGAGCCCTGGACCTGGATATCTCAGACTCTGGAATCTATCATGGGCCCTCGCTGGCAGCACCTACCCAAATGCTCATTTACTGCCAGCTCATTACTGCTGTTGTTACTGTCATCCCTACTCTACGACTGTCTTTCTTCTTGGCATTGGTTTCTTGTTGCCAGCTTAAGATCTCTGCCACTAATACTGTGGCCAAACCAAGAATGGGTTTGACTCAGACCAAGTAGCAGTGTGTGTTTGAATGGAGGGGGAAAAGACAAAGAGTGGCATAAGGAGCATTTTGTGTGTGTGTGTGTGTGTGTGTATTTATGTGTGTGAAGACATAGGGATGACTGAAAAATATTTACTAACCCACCAGCACCAGCTAATCAGAATGGATACCTGCTAAAATACGAAGGCAGATTCCTGTCATGTTACCCAGTTAGTTGCTGGATCTTGATGCTGGTCTAAGAGATCCAAGGGAAAGGCACTTTCAGGAAATGGGGAAGTAGCTGAAGAATTTCTATATTTTAATATAAAATATTAGCCTATGTGGGTGGGTCTGAGGGAAGGCAAGAAAGATTTCAGAGTGAGTGCTCTTATGTGCTCAAAAGTAAGTTTGAAATATGTTAATTTCGCATATCAAATCTAGTCTCAACCCATACCAATCCTTAAATGAATACTAGAATAATCTTTTCAAAAATAAATCCAATCCTTTAATTTCTCTGCTTAAAACCCTATACTGAATCCCATCTCTCTACAGTATGGTGGTTTCCATTCTTCATTCCGATAAGATGATCAAAACTACTCGATATTTCTGGAACACAGTGTGGTTAGCTCATGCACCTGTGCCCACTTTTTCTATCCTGGAGAGCTCCGCCTAATCCTCCAATACTTCTTAATCCTTCACTACTCCCCTTCTCTGGGGAGCTTTATGCCCATCTGGGATGTAGTAGAAAATAGCCATGTACAAACTTCTTCCTTAGTTCTGGTTTCCTTCTATTATACCTGGAGGGCTGCATGCCAGCCTCTCACTCCAGGTGGTGAAGCCCGTGTCCAAATGTCCACAGCAGTTACCTCTTTTCAGCCTTGTAATCTCTATCATTTGCCCAATTCCTGAGTCATAGTGGGGACTCAGTACATCCTCAAAAGAATGGATAGTTTTATTCCCCATCATCCCAGTGGTCCATATAACAAGTATGGGGATGATGGAACTGAGGCACAGAGGGTTTTATGATTGGAACACCACAGGCTTAGATACAGTAGGAATTTTTGGTGACATTATAACTTTTTGGTGACATTGTAACGTTTTACAATATCCCAGTAAATAACCTAGAAAAACTGAGTTAGGCTCTTTTTGGGTTACTTTCCCCAAGCCAAGATGAATTGTTTCCACTCCAAATTCTTACCCTGTTTACACCCCAGGAATTCATTCAGTAGGTCCTCCTGGACCAAGAATTTTATATGACACTTTCTCTTTGAAAGGTGTATCTTAATTACAGTGTCTTCTTATTCTTTATGCCTTGAGTCTTGGTATATATTTCCTTTATAAACTATTTTCAGTTGCAGATGGACACAATACCTTAATTTTGTTTATTTATTTTTATGTGGTGCTGGAGCTCAAACCCAGGGTCTCACCCATGCTAGGCAAGCACTCTACCACTGAGCTATGCCTCCATCCCCTGGATATTTACTTCAATTCTTCTTCTGTATCTCTTTTCCTCTTCTGACTGCTTGACAGTTCTTCAGTGTCCAGGTTTTCCAGGATGAAAGGCTGCCCGCTGGGTCCTGTCTCCTCATGTGGTTCTGGGATCCACCCTTAGGGACTAGAGCTTTCTGGTAATCTATGGCACATAAGCCTTTTAACCTGGGGTCTTATCCAGAGTTTATGTGCAGGTGTGTAGCTTGACTTCTGAGGATCTGAATACTTTTTAATGCTCTTTCCAGCATGACTGCAGACCTCAACCTCCAGCTCTTGGATCCCATCCTAATCTTGATGTGCTCAATGCCAAATGTCTCTACTTACTGTCACAGTTCGTTGCTGCCCATGGCATTTCATTTTGGTTTTGCATTATGTATAAGTGTAGCTGCCAGATAAGTATAAATTTTTTTTAAGCAGCAGATAGAACATTCTATAATTTCCTGTAGATTTTTCTATATAATTTTCTATAAAAATTGGCTGTATTCAGCTATTATTATAGAATTTATCATGTAATATTTATTATATAGAGTCTAGCAGTTATTGTTGTATTACAGAAATAACATATAATTTCCCATAGAAATTAGCTCCAGATAGTACCTGCATGCTGATATATATTTTTTTCAAGTATAAAGTAAGCAAAAAGAACTCTGGAGTTGTGTTGACCAATATGGTAACCATACATGTGGCTATTAAGTCTTGCAATGTACTGCAAATACAAAACACACTCCTGCTTCCAAAAATCATGAAAAATGGAAAACATATACTTCATAATTTTTGATATTTGAGGTTAAATAAAATAAGTTGTTAAAATCAATTTCTCCAGTTTCTTTTTACTTTTTTTTTTTAAAAAATGTGGATAACAACATATCCACAATTCTATATGTGGCTTGCATTATTTTCTATTGAACTGGTTTACCCTAGAGGATACACCTTGTGATTACTTAGTATTAGAAAGTTAACTATATAGAGAGGCAATGGAAAGTTAGTGCAGAATTAAAAAGCAGAAAAGGTTATTCATGGCAGGGGGAAGTTTCTCCTCAGATTTAAAATTTCTGTTCTTTGTGTACACTGACATGCCACCTGCCTTGACAAGCTTTTAAGAAGACTTGATAATATCCAGAGAAATGAGGCCAAACTAAATGGCACCTGTCTAAGGCTTGCCACGTGGTGCCTAACCTCAAAGGATTAAAGCCAATATTGATTTTTGTCATTTATTTTATCTTGGCATTTAAATATCCCTTTGATTTATTACTGCCAGGTTTTTGGTTAAGATTCCATGATGGGTATGATAGAAAAGGTGGTAATAAGTTATGCAGATATCATTTAATTTATGAACTCCAGAGCTCCAGGGTAGCTTTCAGTTCAAGAAATATATTAACCACATACACATCACCCTTCATTTTGTGGTGAGGATTTCCAAGCTGGGTCCCTATTGTGCTACTTAATTTATGGTCTGGCCAGGTACACGGATCTCCATATAATATTTCAATATAAGTTGCGCCCGCCATCACAGGCAAAGAAGATGAGCATCAAAGAAGCCAGCTGGACAGCTGATGGATCACTCTTTTCTATGGGCAGGGGCACTAAGTAGCCTTTAAAGCTTGTCAGAGATTTGAGTCTTTTTCTGCTCTGAGAAGCTGCACGCACAGGCCTAGACAAGCAGAATCAGCCATGCTGCAGCAGGCAGAGGGCAGCTCCCGAGTTACTTACGTTGACAGCCGTAGTGCCAGGAATTTCCCGGCAGACACTCATCACACTTAGGCCCTGTCGTTCCAGTCTTACACTCACAAAATCCTGAGCCATTACAACGATCATGGATTGAGCCCAAAGGGTTACAATAACACTCTGTAGAAACAAGACAACACACAGGCTGGAGACAAGTCCGCATGGCTTATAGGTTATCAACACAGGAGCGTCACTTAAATGCATCACTTACTTAAAGAAATATGTCCATTAATGAAATGCTTCAGCAAATATGGCTATTTCAGGACCATTTATTTATTTGCTTAGCCTTCCATGATATCATTTTTATGATATGGGAGGAAATCAACTGAAAACTTCCAAGGAAATAAGACATCATGTTTTTCACTGGTAACACATTATAATGGAGATTCCATTTGTTAGAGCATTTTTAGATGGTTTAATGAACACCATGAGAAGTTTGTATATCAAGGATAAATCAATATGCCATCAGTGTAAAATCTGTTTTAAATTATTCAAATGGGCTTATCTGTTACACTCAATATTCGAGAACTGCTGAACATTTAAAAAGTGCAATATGAAAGCACTTTGCTTACTCTAAGGTAGTTTTGCTTTATGGTTTGGGACAGCTCCTTAACTTATTTATGTATATACTGTTTTGTGATGAGCCCTTAGATGGTGTAGTTGCTAGGCATGATGGTACAGCTTTTATGCAGCTGAGATTAATGATCATGAAAGAAAACTAAATTTCATAATCCCAAATAAATTTCAACCCAGATGTAATTTCAGATGTATATTTTTCATCATAATATCTGCTACCAGGATAATACAACTTCGCATAGTAAAGAATAAACAGAACATTTTCTTGATTCAGCACATATTCTCATATAGGATATTTCACTTCTGAAGCTCTATTGTATTTAACATTTGAATCAGTAGGAGTTCCTTGGGTGGGCTTTGATAAAAAGCCTGGAAGGAATGCATAGGCAGTGTGCCCCTTAAAGAATTTGTGAGCCAAAGTCCCTTTCTTTATTACCAATCTATTTACTCTGGGGTAACTTATTATAACTCTCTGTCTCTCAATTTCTTTTATTTTAAAAGGGGCACATTAAGAAGTTTTCTGCCAAAATCCAAATAATATTATACAACCAACCAACTGACCAACTGACCAACCAAGTCCAGAGAACTTCCATTTAATATAATTAAGTTTAGTGTGTTAGATTAGCAATGAGGTTAACATTATAGAGGAACCAGGGGCTTTACTCTAACTTTGTGTCATAGAGGCTAATTAGATAATTTCTTCAAAGAATGTGGAGTTCCTCAGAATTAAGATTAATTTCATGCTGTCAGATTTTGAGTTCAGCGTTCTTATCACACAAGCATTTTTAGGGCTAACAGAGACATATGTAGGTAAAAGTATAACTCAATAAACTCTGAAATGCCCCTTTGCCTGGGTTGGTTTGTATTTAATAACTAAGTTTTTTTTTCTTAAGGGACATTTTTTATTCTAATGTATATTTGTGTATGGGAGATGTTTTAAAAACATATTTTAAAATAGTTATTTTGTTGTGTTTTTCAGTGTTTGTGCATATGTATACTGTAAGTTTGTACCTATACCAAAACTATAATATGTTCTTACTATTTAAAGTGTATAAGTCGACAGTGAATCACCAAAATTTTTTAAGCCAGTTAACAGAGTTACATCTGGCCACCATGAATTCACATACTGTGCTAGTTAATTAGCCCATAACAATCAATTAATATAAGTTTATAGATGCAAAAAATGTAAACAAAACAAAACAAAAAAACCCAAACAGTGTATCATCTAAGCTATCATCATGAAAACACATATCAAGAAGAGGACTGGTTTTACCCTCTACCTTACTTATAAATAATTCAGCTTTAAAAAAAATATCACCCATTGAGCTTTGTTGCATGGTAGATGTTGGGAAATGGGAATATCCTTGAAGGATCATATTTTAGCCCATGAAACTATGAATACACAGGACTATTATATTATAAAAATGCTTTGGGTGGCTTGATTAAAAAGTTATGCTACAGTTGATTTATGGATATTATAATTGTCTTGTGTTTATTTTGTTCTATATGTGGTACCTCTGATTACCTGATCTTGGGTTTCAAGGAGAATTAAAAATAATACATCATAACTTAGAGATATGTTTAGCAGCAACTGCTGAGCCCTCTGTTTCATTCTGATGCAAAGCTTTTTAGCAGGGATTATTAACAGTGATTACCCAAGGTCACAAACCATGTGTCCTCTTGCTTCCTGCTCAATGCTCAAGTTTATATGAAACAGAGGCATGCGAGGGTGCCACCTTCATGTAATTGGTGCATCACCACAGGATGATTACATGCATCTTTGGAGACATGGCTGTGTTTGGAATTTGAATGACAAATGGGTAAATTCACCAGTAATCACAAAGCAGTGATCACCGTGGCAACATGGATGAGCCAGCTGCATTTTATATTTGCCATAATATAAAATGATGCAAGTACTTTAAAACATCTATTTCAACACAGAGTCTACATCTATCAAAGATATGAGTTGTTCCCTCACAGTCAGGATGGTGAATTTAATTTATGATTGTTAAAGAATTGGCAAGTACATTTTAAAAAGAATTTTAATTTAGAAAAGACTTAGATAAAATTCAGTTTCTGAGATTAGTGTGTAATTTTGTAGTTAGGTAAATATCCATTCATTTTCATTAGTGCTTTCTAGATGAAATGATGTTAAAATTAATTCTCAATTACTTGTGGTGTATCCTCTTAAATTTAATACACAATCTTTTCCTTTAAGGCTTTTTCTTAATATTTATTTAAACTATTAAATATTGTGAAACATTGTACGTAATCTTGCATATTTTGTAAGATGATTAGGTTTTATTTTGTGCTCCTATTTATTTTGCCTTTTCTGTTGCTTCCATATTTATAGCTTGACATTTATATATCTTTACAAATGGCATTCAGTGGAATACACTCTGCATTCAAAATTCAGACAGCTACATGTCTTCTGGTTTTTATTAATATCCTCAAATCTTTGAAACCCAAGTGTTATGAAGGCAATTGAACTTCTGTTCACAAGCTCAGAGTGGAATTGCTGCTGTCATCCAGAAAACATACTATGAGTCAAAATCTGACATGCTCAGCTTTGCTAATTGTGTCAGAGTGGTTAGGAGAGGATGTTCAGTCTTTGAAGTCAGGAAGCCCTTTGCTAAAGCTGAACAATTGGGTCAATTTGCCTTATTTTTTCTCAAATAGCAGAAATTATCAATGTAATACTTACCCTACTGTTTTATAAATGAAGATTAAATTGAAAAAAATATTGCAGGTCAGTTCACAGTTTACCCAGTGTTTACTGTGCTCACATCTGCTAGTGATTTCACCAGGAGGCTCACATGACTTACCTAAGACATATACCTATTAAATAGCAAACTGGGACTTGAACCCAGCTCTCCAGGCTAAGTCCAGTACTTTCTTCACTACTTCACAAATAATAAATAAGGAAGCATTTTGAAAAATATAAAATATTGTAGAAATAAAGAAGATTATGTATACTTCACCAAATTTAATTCAAAACAATTGTACAACTATTTTAAGTGACACTTGACAGGAATCTACATGACCTTGGTAACCAAATCATTTCTTTTTTTTAAACATGAAAAGACCACCTGGAATTTTCCATAATGTGTATTTTATTTAATTTAGTTTTCATGTGAAAAAAACAAAGACTATCTTTAAAATTGGTGGTCTATATAGCTAACTACTAGTATGGTAACAGTCACCATATTCAAAAGATATGCATTTTTTCAGACTAAGTTATGGAGTGAAATTCCATTTATTGTTTATTATTTTTCCATCTTTTTTTTTTTAAAAACAGGTCCTACTATGAGAAAGATAGAAGAAGCTTTTTTTTTTTTTTTTAAGAGGGTAGGGTATCTAGTCCTCCCCAGGAGACAAGATCAGTAGTCATTTATGGAGGGAAGGTATGCTCAAAGGACTCCACAGACCCAGTTTTCTAGGGTTCATGCATCTTGCAAGATTGGAGAATTAATTGAGAAATTACTTGGCATTGGGAAGACTAAAGGAAAAATTGAATAAATGGAATTTCTTTACTGTGGATGAAAAAGGCAAAATTTTCTATGATCAGTTGCTGGTAGCTTTCAATTCTAAATGGCAACATTTTTATTCCCCAAAACTTGATCACCAAATAGATGCATGGATTTGTGTCTCAAATTTTCATATTCATAATTAAATCCTGCACAATGAATTTCCATTTTAAAGTTGAATGCACAATTTATGTTCAAAAAATAAGTCAAAATTACCAGGTTTTAAGAATTCATGCAAAAAAAAAAAAAAAGAAGAAGAAAAGAATAAAGAAGGAAAGCAACTTATTCATTTCCTAAACATGATTTCTCAGACCAACAACAACATAAGGCTTCAAAATATAGCCCCCATGTATGATTTCAACCAGTACAAATGAATTTTAAGTCTACCACGAGGACATTTGCTCCATTGAGAAAGTTCATTTTTGCACAGCTGTGGTGCATATCATCAGCCTCTCTGCCCTAGATAGCTCCCCATAGCTCCAAAGGCACAGAACAAAAGCTGAAATTATAATGGAACTGACCTATGCACACATTCTCATCGTCCAGCTGTGCAGAAGCATTTCTGAAGTAGCCCAGCCTGCATAACTCACAGTGCTGCCCTCTAGTGTTGTGTTTACAGCTCACGCAAATGACTGTATTTAGCAGATCGATATAACTGCATCGATTGGAGTGGCCGAAGCATTCACAGTCTTGCAAGGAAGAACAGAAATGTATACAGAGTGTATACAGCAGCAGAGAAATAGCACACTACATGCTTGGGTGAAATGAGGGATGGAGAAAAGATGGTGGAATGACATCACATATATTGAATCAACACAACACATGGCGACAACAGGTGGTTGTGACTGGCATGGAAGTAGCATCTGTTTCAAGCAGGATAGAAAGGTCGGACATTCAGAACATGACTGAAGATCATTAATTCTTGGCAGACAAGATGAACAGAAGCATTTGCAGGTGTACACCTTTTAAAATTTGGGAAAACTTGGTTTCTATTGATGCAAAAGTCTAATTTCTGCATATGGAACACTTTACTGTCTTTGCACCATTTCCCCTCTTTTCTTTTCACATTTGCAGTCTTTAAAAGAAGGAGGGAAGCACGTGAGCACTGAGGGTCAGAATCTCCTGTCCCCTGTGGTTCCTTTGTCTCACTATTGTTCATGTCAAGAGAGCAACCTGGTCAGGATTTCATAGAAATTGTGGCAAATTTAACAGGGATCAGGACAACTACACAATTTTACATTTTGAATTTTTCCCAGTGTTAAGAGAAGATGGATCTTCATGACTTTCTTTGGGTGAAATCTGCATGTTTACATATGAGAGAAAACATAAAAATCAGGGAAATTATTCTTTAAAAAATGTACTCTTACAATGTCCTTTTCTTTCGATTTTTGTGCTAAATCTGCTAAAAAAAAAAAAAGGCGGAGTAGGGGGGCTGTACGCAGCTTCTATATGTCCGGATTTAGTTTCCTTTTTCTCTCTAAAATGTTAGCCTCTGAGGCTTGGAGTGATGGTGGAAAAACAAGACAGGGAGACGAAGAGGATGAGAGCGGTTGGGGATGGTGGAAGGTGACTGGATTGCCTCATCTCAGCCAAAGCAAGAACCTGTTAATCTAATTCAAATGTTTAAAAATAAATGGTAAAGATGGTCCTTCTGTTGGAGAAATAGTTATTAAATGAAACAGAAAAGAAACTGTGAGTGATAAGTAGGTGGGAAATCTACCGTGTCTTCTCAAAAGATGGGGATAGGCCTAGCTGGACAATTGTAAAGTAGGACAATCCCAATACTGAAAACTGTTTATCTATTAAATATTCTTCTCATTTGTGTCTGGATTTTATTTTTCCCACCAGGAAGCCAAACACAATCAAATTTGAATCCATTCATTCTTCCATCCATTCACTTATTCACTCAATAGTTCATTGAGTTAGTCTGTTATGTTCTAGGTACTATGCCAGTAGTCAGAATACTTTTTTGGCCTACATAAAATCTGAGAAATATTGCATTTTGAGGATCGGAATAAAATTGAGTGTTATCAAGTAAGTAAAGAAGAATAAGGAAAGGTAAATATATCTAAAAATTGTTAATACACTATCACATATTGGAAGAGTGTGCTTCATTTGTTAGAAAGCTGATTAATCCAGTAGCCTGCTGAGGTTAAGGTCCTGACAGAATGATATTCAATTTGGATACAAGAATTGAAGGACCCAGGGCTTAGCAAAGAGTAGAAGATACCCAGGGAAGAAGAAGAAGTGTGTGAAGCCAAGTCACTTCCTGTCTTTGAGGTCTGCTGTAATCATGTGCAGGAGTGTGGCTGGGAATAAGAATAGGGAGAAATCAGAGAGAAAGGAGGTTATTGGGAGAAGAAGGCATTGAAACATCAATATAGGAGGTCAAATAAGAAAATAAATTCAATAAGTCATGCCAAGTAAATAATAACACCACCACCAATAATAATAGAGTTACACATTACCAAAGTAAATTCTTTTAGTAAAACACAAGCATTCACTTCACTCCATGATACCTGCTTGAATTACAACTTGTGTGTACTGGCAAGGGTTCTAGAGCTTTCATCCTCTGAGGGTGTGAAGCAGTAAGAATCTTTCTAGCCTGCAGCCTCCCAGGAACAGTGGTGGCAGGATCCAAATCTAATTGTTTCCCAAGGATTTCTTTAGAGCTTTCTGAAGAGAGAGCAATGACAGAACCATCCTCAAGGTCTCCTCCTCTGGGGGAGGCCTGTGTTCTTTGTCTTTCTTCAGATTCCCCAATCCAGGTTGGTCCTTGGTGTACCTAATTAAATGAACCCATCTTTTTTTTTTTTTTTGAAAGCATCTCTTATGTGTAAAAATTCATCTTTGGAACTTTTTGGAACAACCCAGAAGTTTGATTAGTGGGTAAGACAAACACATGCTCAGATAGCTAAAAAAAAAAACCGTAGTGCTAAGAAAATGAAATAGACACACAAAGCAATCTAGATAGAAGGAGAAATTCATTTATCCTGATGGAATTAGGAAAAATGTCCATACGACTTGAACATTGAAGCAGGTAGAGTTTATTTTAAAATGGTGAAGGGGGGTGGGTGGGACTTGGCACTTCTGGTGAAAGGAATAAAGAGCATAAGAGGATAAAACTGAGTGAATGTGAAGAGTGAAGCTGAAGAATTTTCATAACATGATTCCTTTGTGGTAAAGGATTCTGCAGGTTCTGTCCAATGGCCAGAACTACTTGCTTAGCTGCATCTGATAAAACCATAATGAAGAAAAATATATATCTGTAAGATATCCAAGGTCAGGGTTGGGTCAGAAGTTCAGTGACAGAGTACCCACCTTGTGCATGCAAGGCCCTGTGTTCAACACCAAACACTGAGAGAAAAAAAAAAAGATATTCAAACACAACATGTGGAGACCCATTCCATGATTCATCATGGCCATTCAAATGTAGCGTTGTTGCCTACTACAATTCAAATTAAGTGAGTAGTACACATTTCTGTGATGATTAATTCTTTGTGGGTCTCTTTTGGAAATTTATCTATTAATTTTGGTAGGAAAAGTTAAATAATTATATAAGAGATCATACTCAGCTAAACATACTATTATAGACTTATTTCAGAAAATAAGTGAACATTTAAATGTTTTAAAATCTATGAGATGGATTAATAATAACTTGATTCTTTTAGAACATCTAGGACTCTTTTGTGACCTTAATTAAGCTGTCTTCTCTGGCCATTATATATTTGAGAATATTAAATATGAAATTTTTTTGGAAAAAATTTTTAAAAATGATCTGAAAAACATGAGAACATGATAGAAATGAAAGGCATTTCAGATATATTATTAGAGTGCCATATTATTTTCCTGTACTCTTGTTAGTTTACCATTCTTTAATACCTAGGCCTTTCACTGAGGGACAAACCCCATTAATGATCATTAATGATATAATGTGAGTGGCATTCATATTAAGAAACTGAAAGGGTGATACTAGTAGTTTAATAATTCTTTAACGCTCTGCCATGTCTCCCCTTCTCTCTCTTTCTCTCTGTCTCTCTCTCTTTTGTGGGGAGGGTACTAGGGATTTAACCCAGAGGCACTTTACCACCGTGTTACATTCTCACCCTTCTTATTTTGAGTCAGAGTCTCACTAAATTGCTTACAGCCTTGCTAAATTACTGAAACTAGACTTGATTTTGCTATTATACTACCTCAGACTCCGGAGTTGCTGGGATTACAGGCACTTGCCACCACACCTAGCCTTCCCCTTCTGTTCTTATTAAGTATGGAATCTATGGTCCATCCTTATATTTACTTCATTTACTATACTTCATTGCCCCTCTATCCCCTCATCCTAGTACCCTGGGAAAAACCTGATCTTGGTTAAATTCAGCTCTCCACCTCTCCATGTCTACATTCTGGCAGCTGAACATGGCTGAAGTTTTTCCTCCAACCACTTTGAAACCAATCCCACTTTTAATTAATGATATTTAACTCAATGGATTCCTCAGAGCTGCCGGGCAGTCAGTCCTTCCTTAAAAGGGGGTTCGGGGACCATCACTTTCTCGGTGTTCTCCCCCTTACCTACTCCTCCCATTTGTTTTAAATGACCTTTCATTTTTCTCCTTATCTCCTTAAATGTCTAAAGGTTTAGTCCTTGGACCTTAAGGTTTACCTTAGATATTTTCTGCCCAGTCCCATGTCTTTAAAAACCATCCACCTGTGGACCATTCCAAAATAATTATTTCCAGCCTGGACCAACTCTCCAGTGAGAGACTGCATTCAGACTCGTATACTGACTTGAACTGCCTCTTTAGTATCTCCACTTGAACATTTAATAAATACCTCAATTTTTAAGTGTTCAACACTGAGCTCTTGTGTTACCTTCCTAAAACTGTTGCTTACCAGGTGGCCCCGTCTTAGTAAATAACAGCTTCATTCTTCTTCCAAATGCCTGGATTTATTCTTGATGCACCTCTTTTTCCCCACTCCCTACAACCAATCCAATAGCAGACCTTCTTGGTTATTCTTTTAAAATACATCTCTACCATCTCATCCTTGGTTAAGGTCACTGTCACTCCTCACTTGGATTATTGCCATTGTTCTCCAATCTGCTTTCCTGGGTTCTACCCTTATGATAATCTCTTCAGAGTGACACTTTCCAATGGCTTCACATCTCACTAGAATAAAAGTACTTTATTCATTCCCAGATGCTTTGGCCCTTGGCTTCCCTGAGGCTCCAGGCCACCATGTGCCTCCCCACTTCTGTGTGACATCTCAAGGTTGCTCCTAAAACATGTAGGTTTTTTCTCAGGATCATTATGCTTGCCATTACCTGTGTCTGGTGTACTCCTTCCCAGAATCCACCTCAAATATTACACACTACTTGCTTCCTAGCTGCTTTTTAAAATCTCTGTTCAAAGAAAAATTTCTGACCACTTTACCTGAAATAGTAGCCCCAAATCCAAATATCAGGACCCCTAATTTCCTAATCCATTTTCTCATAGAATTTGTAATATCTGAAAATTATATTAAAAATTACCCTCTTATGCTCCCACTATAAATATATAAGTATAGACTGTCTATTTTGTCTATCCCTGTAATCACAGAACTGAAAACATCATTTGGCACATACTCATCACTCAAAAAATGATTTTGAATGAATGAATAAATGAATGAATGGTGATCCCGAGGCACCTCCTTTGGA